TGTGTGTGTGTGTGTGTGTGTGTGTGTGTGTGTGTGTGTCTATTTTATTCACTGTTATATCCAGCTTCTAGATCAGTATTTGGCCCACAGTAGGCATGACTATTTGCTGGAATGGGTGGATAGTATGCCAGGTTCCTGTCTCTAATTTATAGTACTTCACAAAGTAGGAATATAGTTTGCCAACCTCCCATGTGGCCATGGCAAATTATTTTTCACCTTCTCGATTTCCTCTGCTGGCACACCCCGCAGCCTGGCATAGAGGTAAAGATGTTCCCGGCCTGTGAGTAGGTCATCAATTGCATCAAATTGAGGACAGTAGCCCATGTTTTGATGGACGTCCGAAATATTGGTTAAAATGCTGCAAGAAGAAAGAGAAATTGGTGAGCTTCCTTCATAGAAGGGGTGAGCACAGAGCAGGGGCCAGAGAGACTTCTGCCACTGGGGCAAGACCTCCATTTTAGAAACACACAGAATTCAGAAATCAAAGTGGGATCCTGTGGTTGGCAGCATGAACTTTGGGAGTGATGAGCTTTAAAACTAGTGGATCCTTCCGAGTTTCCACATCTAGGACGAACTGCCACTCAGTTGGTGAGGTTGGATCACCTGGTTTGAGGGCTTAAAAACAATGATTTAAGAAATGGTCAGTGGATTGTCAATGGATCATAATCCCTTCCAGACATTTGGGGAGTAGCTTGGAAAAGGTGGATGCCTCCCAGTGGAGGTAAACTTCTCCCTCTGTATTTATTGGCAGACAAAGAGAGACAATCAGATAACTGCCGGAACAGGAGGCTGGGAAGTGACAGAATAGTGTTCTATCTTCCCCATCTGATGAACACATTAGATACCCCACTAGAAATGTATTGACTTGAATAACAACAACAAAACTGTACATAGATGATTTTGTCAAATCTCTTTGTCCTTTGTATAATCCCTTATACTTCAGGGATTATTAATAAGGGATGGCTAGAATATGATGGAATCTAGAGAGTCCATTGCAGTTTCTCACTGCAACAAAGGTCACTCAAGGTATAGGTAGGTCAGCTGAAACCACACAGGGAAACAAGGAAGAAACCTTGCCAAATTCGTTGGAGACATCGCACCTGAGCCACGGTCTTTAAACCTTGGCTTGCTTTCTAACTTGCAGCTCAGTTTTACCTTAGGATAACAGTCCGTGCTTCACCTGTGCTAAAACTGGTGTCACCTAATAACTTCCCATTACATCTCTCACAACTCTTGCTGTTCCCACTGTGAAGTCACTTGCTTGGTAGCAGAAAGCTGGGTGGCAGATGAGATACACTCAGCTATGACCTGGCTCTGTCTTTGTAGTCTGTTTGTTTCAGACCCACCCTCCATGGCTATGGGGGGCTGGGACCCCAGATTCATCTTATCTGAGTCCCAGAGGTGTGCTCAGGACTCCTGCTGCCTGTTGGTCTGTGTGGAGCAGGGCTTTTGGGTAGCAGTGTCTGTCTCCACTTACAAACCGGAACAGACTGCTGTGAGTGCTCTCACTGTGTGAGAGCATTGCTGTTCAGGAGCAGCCAGCAAAGAGACAAACCAGCAAGAGGCCATTCATTCTCTTCCCCGCCCCGCCTCATAGAGGACAAGTCTGTTTAGACTCCCGTTATTACAGAGGCCAATAGTGAAAGACACAGGTCATCTTACTCCTTCTCAGCTTTCCTTAGTCTGTTGAGAGCAAGAATTGGCACATAAACAGCCAATGGCAAGAAAGTCTCCCTGAGGTCCCTTGAGTGAGGACCTCCATTCTGAAACTCAAGGCAGAGAAAGGATGTATTATCCCAGGAGATCATAACCTGGGATCCAGAGGCTGCAGTGGGATCATGTGTGTACCCCAGGGCTCAGTAAATTCCTTGAAGCTTTGTAAACTGTCAGGAGGGAGATAATGAGAGGCTATGGGATATTCTTACAGAGGAAGATGAAGCAGGGCTCATCGGTTGCTGAGTCTATAGCCCAAAGAGATGAAGAAACATGAACTTTGTGATTCCCGGGACTTTCTAGGAATCCACACTAAGAGTGCTCTTTTACTCGTTACAGTTTAGTTTGGTTTTTCACTGTGCCTCTGTCTTGTGTTTTTTTAAATCATATTCTGCAGGAGGTCTCCCTCCCTGAATAGATCTTTCTGGGTCTCAGAGTCACTCTGGAGTATGATTGAGAATGACTTTCCTTATGCTTGCACAAGGACATGACCTGTGGGGGACACTCTGCAACAGGACGGACAGAGGACTCACCTCTTGCCTGCTACGGTAGCATCACCTGATGTCACTGTGGTGTCCCCAGTGAGCATCTTGAATGTGGTTGTCTTGCCTGCACCATTCACTCCCAGGAGACCAAAGCACTAGAAAAAAACAGAGAACAGGTATTGCCCTAGAAGCCAAGGAGGTCTTCACTGCCACACTCTAGACCAGTGTAAGCACTGGGAGACTCAGTTTATACCTGGGGTGCCATTATTGAGATTATTGGCCACATGTGGCTACTAACACAAACCACACCTAATCCTGACTGACATAGGCACTAAGTATGTAAAACACTGGCTTTGAAGACTTAGAACAAGAACAACAAAGAAAAATAAAAAAATGTCTCAGTAATGTTTTATATTAATTAAACATTGAAATAATATTTAAGATATATTGGCTAAGTAAGATAAAAGTAGTAAATTTAATCTACCCCATCCCCTGTATCTACCAGAAAGTTTGTCTTTCATTAGATTCCCAGAGTCTAGTTTTGTTCAGAGGGAGAAGATTCGTAGTTAAGGGCTGACTTTTCTCAAGAGCTATTTCATGCTAGTCTGTATGGTACCCACCTCTCCAGGACGGACTCCGACACATAATCTGTCTACTGCTGGACTGGAAGAGCCTGAGTAAACCTGTAACATCCAAAGAAACTGGGCTGAAGACCAAGACAGGGGTAGAGAGGGCAGTAGAGCAAGAGCAGAATGCAGCAAAGAGTGCTTTGGGAGAAAAATCACAACGTCCTCACCTTGGTTAGTTCATTTAGCCTTAAGATGTCAGTTTTATTCCCCCCACTAATAATTCTTTGTCTTTCTTCAGCTACATCATCGTCTTCATCAAAAATGGGCTCTCTAGCAGGCTCAGCAACCCTAGAGGAAGGAATGTGGACAACATTGGCCTGGATGTGCAGTAACCATCACACTGTCCCTGTCATCTGTCATCCCAGTCCCCCACTTTTACGCCTCCGGACTTCTTTCCTCTAAGCCTATTGTAAAAATGGCCCCTGACAGGAGGGATGCTAGGCAGAGAGGTCAAGTGCTTCTGTTCAACTCAGCCCTGCATTGCAGTCCTGCCTCTTCACACATGACCTTGTGCTTGCCACCAGACCTCTCTGAGCCTTGCCTTCTTCAACCTTGTGAAGGGGAAAGAAGAAGGCTATCTCAGGGATATGTGAAGGTGAACCCTGAATGCCCAGCACAGGGTAAAGGCTCAGGATCTGGGAGCTAGTGTTATATTATTAAAAGCTTTCCTCTATGGCAAGTGAAATGTAGGTGAGCCATTATCTATCAGCCTTCCTTTTTCCTCCAGCCTTCCATACCGACTCAATGTCAAGATAGCTTTGTCATCTTATTAACACATGCCTCCAAATCTTTCTTGGTTCTTTGTAAGCTACAGGTTCCAAGTCTAAATTTCCCAAGCTTTTGTGTCCTGCAGGCAGGTCCCACGTGCCTTTACCATCTGCACTTATTTTTACTGTACTCATTCCTCCACCAACCACTGGCGTCTGCCCTGGTCCCTACCTTATGCAAGACATTCCCACTTGCTAGTGTCAGCATGTTCGCTTCCTCCTGCCCTGCTAAGAGAATCTTCCTCCTCTGGAATTCCTTCTGACCATCTATGTGCCAAGTGTCCAGCCTTTTGACACTGATATATGACAGAGTCATCTACAAGTGCATTATGCTGTACTCATGGCTACCCTTGGACGAATGCATCCTGTAGGCTGTAAGTTAGACATGCCTGACCTAGGACTCCAGCCTTTCTTTCCTCCCTTACTGACTACATCTGCTCTACCACTAAATCTTGTCTACAAGACTTTCTTCTGATTTTCTCTATCATCCTCAATGCCTCCATCTCCAACCAGTTCACTGTTGTCTCTTTGCATATCAGCATGGACTCCTATGTCACCTCTCAGTCATGGTAAGATCATGTCATTCCCCTGGTTAAAATACCCCAGGGATTTCATGTTGGTCTTAGGCTTGAGTCCCAAGTCATCAAGATGAGGAGTATTTCAAGACCCAACACCGTCTTCCCCTCTGCACTCATCCCTGCTCCTGGAAGACCCTTCATCCCATATATCAGTCTTACTCTCTGGGGTTTCTGTACTCTGTGTAGGTTTTGTTCTCTACCAAGAGATTCCTTCCTTCCTTCCTTCCTTCCTTCCTTCCTCTCTTTTTGCTTACTAATTATCAGCATGGGTGTAATGTCTGGAAGCCAGGCCTCTCTGATCCTCTTTAGGACTTACTCAATTGTATCTGTATCAGAGTTTAAAGCTAATGACTTAGTCTGGGTAATCCACCCTCTCCCCTCTTCTCTTTTAAACCTTATGGACAGCATTTTTGAGGGGCCTGCAAAGGGCTGAGAAGCCCACCAATAGGTTCTCACAGTCTTGCCCATAACTAGAAGCACTGCTGTTTATTCCATGGGTGTTGATTTATTTTCTGTCTCAGCCCTCTCAACCCTGTAATTAGGGAAGTAGGTCATTTATAATGTACTAAGCACTGGAACCCTTTTATTTACATGTTATCAAACTTACCCTGAGAGGAGGAAAGGTTAAGAAATAACAACAACAACAAAAAAGTTGTCATAAAAGTTCTTAGGGAGGGCCTGTGTGATTTCAGTGCAGGGTCCTGGTGTGGCCCTCTGAGGGGGTTGTACTCCAGAAACCAAGCTCAGGTCAGCATGAAGCAGGCAGGGCTGGGTAAGAGCCTGGGGAAGTATGGTTGGGCAGGAGCTGGCTGATTGCCCTTTAAGATGTCCCAGAAATTCTAGGGTTGGCAGATACCTAGCTTGGCCACAAACATGGAGGTTGAGTTGCTTTCTTTCACCTCTCCGTAGGCCCTTGGCTGCTCTCACCCAACACAAGGTTGTAGTGGAAGTTTCAGAGCCGCTTGGTCCCAAATACCCAGCAGCCACTTCCCAAATTATCACACAGAGGCTTAATATTACTTATAAATATTCAGCCAAGAGCTCAGGTTTATTATTAACTAGATCTTACATTTTAAGTTAACCCATATTCCTTATTTATGCTCTGCCATGTGGCAGTACCTTTTCTCAGTATACTGTGCCCATCTTGCTCTCTCAGCATCTGGCTTGCTTCTCCTGACTCCACCCATTTACCTCTTAATGGTTTCATGCCCTCTTAAAGTCTCTCTCCAAAGTTCTTTTCAACTTTCCCTTATGGTACTTGCTGGCTATTGGTCTCAGGCTGGTAATTAGATGGAGTTTACCATCCACTTTGAACTGCATTCCCAAACAAACCAACACCCAGAAGACCCAGGCCCAGAGGGACAGGGGTCACTTCTGGTCTCACACCATCCATGGGCTGGGCCTTGATCAGAAGGACTTAGGCCCTCCACGAGTGGCACTGGGGAGTGGGTCTTCTGTATGCCACATTGCCCATGCCATGCAGTGGGGATTGGGGCTGGGCTCTTCCCTGTTCCAGGATAGCCAAGAACTCACAGAGATCCACCTGTCTCTGCCTCCCAAGTGCTGGGATTTAAAGTGTGCCACCACTGCCTGGCCTTATAATTTCCTGTCTCCTGTCTGTACAGCCCTTCAGATCTCTATGGTTAACTAGTAGCTAGCTCCACCCTCTGATCTCTAGACAAGCTTTATTTATCAGAATGCAAACAAAATCATACAACACAAGGTCCCAAAGAACTCCTGTACTCAGTGTTCTAGCTGGCAAGGGAGTTTGCTTTGTCTTACTTCTCACAGATCAAAACCCTTCTTCCTCATATCTTGGATATTCCATAATGATTTTTATTTACAGTGCTAGCACCCAGTTTAAGATAGGCATGTGGTAAATACACAAGAAAGTTAAATAGTAACTGAAACGAAACCATTGTGTTTCTAAAAGTTTGAAGCTAAGACTTGTCTCAAATTCTAGCAGGCATCTTTTAACCCTTCTCTCCTGTAGTATGTAGAACAAGCTGGACCTTAAGAATGAAGAAAAAAAAAAACAGAATGCAGTTTCTGAGAACCGTGCTGATATGAAGCCCAGGGCTGGATGGCACCTTGGGGTGCAGTAATACATACCACCGGGTGAGGAAAAAGTGGTGTTGGATGAGGAGTGTCAGAAGGAAGTATACTACCCCTTCTATTGCCATAGCAACCAGATTTTTCCCAATCAGGTCCCACTGGAATGGGTTGGAGGAGTACTCCTCACCTGGGGATGGAAGCAACAGGACATCAGGAGGAAGAGTCTGCATTAGGCTTCCCAGGCTCACCCATGAAGACCCGACTAGGACCCAGATGCCCAGCCTTGGATGGAAGGCTAAATAATACCCCAAATCAAGTTTTTCTTGGCTCTCAAGATCAAAGTGTAGGAGGGTAAAATCTTGCCCTTCGCCCTACCTGTGGCTCCCCAGCCATAGAGTCAGAAGCACGCTAATCCCTTCTAAGTGGTGGCAAATGCCTGGCCAGCGTTTAAGTGCCGCCCCAGCCTCTAGGCTGCAGATCTGGTATCAGAACCCTTGTATCTTTCCCAGCCTGGATGGATCCATGGTTGTGACCCATAGACCTAGAATGCTACGCACCAAACTGGGCATAGACATCTGTCACAGCTTGACTCAGTGCCAGGTCGATAAGGCCTCTGCCCAGGCAGAAGTGAGGAAAGACAATGAGCAGTTTCCTCAACATGGCGTTGAACCTGAGCAGTGTCTGAGAAAGAGAAATGAGGCTGTTAAGAGTGGGAGCTGAGGCTACATGTCCCCACCCACCCCCCCTTTGTGAGTAGGTAGGCTCCAATAAATGTCTTCACAGAGCAAGGTCAGGGACTCTGGTCTTCTGGTAGCACCCAGTGCAGGTGTGTGGCCACCCACTGAACTGTGAACAACTAATGAGAAAGGACAGGCTAAGGAGACACCTGAAGACACAGACCCGCGTGGAGCTGGGTTGCTGGGAGGACAGCCAGCACATGGCATAGTCAGAGCAGGACAGTAACCAAAGGGAGGGGGGGTGGTAAAGACAGCCCTGTAGCCACCTATTCTTTTTTAGGGGTTCTGTCTGGGCACACCCTCTGGACAGGAAGAAGTCAGAGAGTGTGGACAGGGCAAGTGGACCGACTAGGTTGTAAAATGGAGTCATTCAGCACCAGGATTTCCTGTCCTCAGGATTTCTTTGGGAGCAGGACAGTATACGGCAGTATGTTATTTGTGTATGTACTGGAGGAAGCATATGTGTTTGTTTGTATGTCTTCAGAAAACATTAGGAAGTGGAATACCGTAGAGTCTGGACAAGGGAACTGGGTGAACTGAAGAGGGTAGGGAGCTTTTTCATTGTTACATCTTTTTGGTTTTTTAGATTTTCAAGTCATATGAACAGAAGCTCCAGGGGCACAATCAGTTAATATGTGGTCCTTATCTTATATGAAATCATCTGACTATGTCATCATCGTGTGTGTGTGTGTGTGTGTGTGTGTGTGTGTGTGTGTGTGTGTGTGTACAATCTAAATTCCCCTCGGAGCACATAAATCAAGAGGCAAGAGTAGGGAGTGGTGCCAGGTGAGGGTAGGGGAGGTAGCCCTGCTCATCTGTGCACACGGATCTGCATGCACTATGTTTGCCACAGCTCTGGCGACTGGTACATCTGCTCCAACATCCTACTAATCAAAACCAAGAAGCCAAGAAAGTTCTGCTCACCCGGTTATTCTCAAATAATTCCAGGATGAAGGTGATGGCACTGCTGTTGATGCCGATGAACAGGTTAGCACAAGACAAAGCCACATAGGCTGTGCTGGGGACATCAAACAGGAAGGATGCTGGGTACATCATGGGGATGACTGCCCATCTGTGTGAGATGACATAGCTCAGAGGGAGAGAGTTCCAGGATCCATCCCACCAACTATACCTCTATATACGAGGTGACATATTTGAACTGGCTGGGGTCCCAGGGAGAGAAAGGAGATACTCCATTCCTTGGTTTTTGTGCCTCATCTTCAAAAGGAGATGACGATGCCTGCCCTGACCATCTCATGAGTTTTATGAGAAGAAAATGAGGCAGGAGTTATGTGTGAACTTTATGAGCCTGAAAGCCCAGAGGCCACCCACAGTAATGCTCTCTACTCCAGGTAAAGCAGCACTGAAGGTCCCAAGAGCTCATCTTCACAGTTCATTTCATAGTTCGCAGTCAAGCTGCCTTCTGAGTCCATTTTTAAGAGAGATGAACAGAGGTCATTGTTCTGGGATGAACAGAGACCATTGTTCTGGTAAGACTCTCCTCTCCACACAAGGAAGGACGAGGCATCATTCTGATTTATAGATGAGGACTCTGAGGCCCAGTTGGCAGGTGGTATTGCTGGGATACAAAGCTGCACCCTGTGCTCCATAATTTAATTGGATCTCATCTCTATATCATCTTCTAGCCCGACTCAGGGGTAGTGGTATGGTTTGGAATCTTCTATTGTGTGCAGATAATTCTTGGCAAGCACTGTGAAGGACGCTACACCGAGGAGCTTGCCCACAGTGGTTATAGAAATTGGAGCTGGGGAGGAAGTGGGGAGTGACTGAGTCCCAGACTTTGGTCAAGACTACAGCTGGAAGTGAAGAAGGTTCAGACTGTGTGGCACTCATCTCTGTATTTCTGAATGGGCTAGGACTCAGACTTGCATGGCTTTACAGACAGGTTTCTGATTAGCTACCATGGAAGCTTCTGGAGCTGGAAGCTAAACCTGCATGTGCTCTCAGGACAAGAGGACCCGAGTTTGCAATCAGAAGATAGCATCTCCCCCCCGGCCCAGATGTCTTACCCATATAGCATGAGCAGAGCAACGAGAGCAGGAAGGTTGTCTGCAGATGTGTAGGCTTTTTTTTGAAATCCAATGAAGATGCCCACCACCAGCCCGGCACTCACGGCATAATTTATCTTGAAGAGAAGAAACAGTAAGTCACTGAACCTCTATGACCTGGGGACCAGGCTCCCCCAGCTCCTATGGTCTGGGATTGAGTCCATTTATCCAAACAGTTTTTGGTTAACATGCAGAATTAAGATATAGGTTAAGCTGTTCATAGTTCACTTACAATCTCCTTTCTACACCTGTTCAAAGGCCACCAGTCTGTAACTTTGAAAAGGATGGATATAAAATTCTGTGTGAACTCTTACTCTCCCCCTAATTGGTCATAAAGCCCTGATGGTTATTCTTTCTATACATGTCTCTAGAATTTAGAAAAACTTAAAACATGGTCCTTGACTTCAAGAAGCTCACATAGGTGGGGGTAACTCTTCTAAAAAATGTGGTTCTGAAGACACTAGGTCAGGCTTGGAAAGATAGGCTGCATGATAGATTAGGTCTCCACCAGGGTGAAGCCTGGTAAGAGTGAGGAGGTCATTGGAATGGGTGCCAGAGGACCTGCTGAGACAGACAAGCATGGGAATAGTTTAGCAACCTGGGCCTCCACTTGCCTTGGGCTATACACACATCATCCCCAAACAATACATCCACAAACTTGTTAGCAACTTGCAGCTCCCACCTAAATCAAGTTACACACATACCTGTATTAAACAATGGAAATAAGTTACTCCTCTTAGGAATCCCTTGATATGCCCCATTTAGACTCCAGAGTTCCTGGAACTCAGTCTTGGAATTATAGGTAATGGCCCTATCCAGACTAGAGTGGGGAGTGGTACAGGTACAATAAGGCAAAACTGTATCCCCAAGTAAACTTTTAGGGGGAAACTCCCTATTTACCATCTTCTGCCTATATATAATTGGGCATGCATATGATTAAAATTAGGAGAGACATGCACAAAGATTTACACAATCCTAATCTATCAAAACAGAAATGTCTGAACGCTACTAAGCAAAGTCACCACCCTCTTGAACCCCTAGAAATAACTGGGTCCCTTGATTGTCACACTTATTTGGCCTTCTGTCAACTTTGACAATGTATTTCTAATCTGTTCTATTGCTTATTTTAAATGTCTGTGATACTTTGCAGTCCGTGTGGATTCTTTTTTAAAAGGTTTAGTGTGTGTGTGTGTGTGTGTGTGTGTGTGTTGCCTGAATTTATGTCTGCACACTGTATGCATGCAGTTTGCTAACAAACCAGACGAGGTCATTGGATCCTCTAGAACTGGAGTTACAGATGGTTGCTAGCCACTATGTGGTTGCTAAGAACTGAACTTAGGACCCCTGCAAGAGCAGCAAGCACTTTTAACCTCTGAGCCCTCTCTCCATTCCCTGTGTAGGCTTTTATTTCATTCTTAAACAAGGGGAAAAGAACTTAAGAGCACCCATTCCAGACTCTGACCCATAATTCCATGGGATGAGGAAAGTGTCTGTATAGGGGGTTGTCCCACATGGAACATCAGAGTCAGGGTAGAATAAGAAGAACCTCTATGTAGCATCTGAAGCAGGGTGAAGAAGGGGGTATCCCTACAGAGAGGCGACAAGGGCAGAGAAAATGGTCCTTTGTGTTGGTTTTCAAGAGCCGATATGTTTTATCATCATGAGAGAAGCCTCATTTTGTTTTGGTAATGTTGAGATAAAACAGAGATCTCATGGGCCAGGTGTGGTGATATACACCTTTAATCCCTGAACTTTCATGGCAGAGGTAGGTAGATATCTGTGAATTTGAGGCCAGCCTGGTCTACATATCCAATTCCAAGCCAGTCAGGGCTACATAGTGAGATTCTGTTTCAAAAAAAAAAAAAAAAATTAAAGACACCAAGAAAAGACGACTTGGTGTCACAATGACCCTGTCATGTCATAACTAGACTCAGTTAACAGTTCCTTTTGACTCTGTGGCCTGTGATAATGTGTGTAGCATTCTAATCTCTCTCTGCTGCCACCAACATTGATTGCTCTTTGCTGTTAACCTGTTTTTGGTTTTTTTAATTAATTTTCCTCAACATGGTAGCTAATCTAGTACAGTAAGGATCTGGTCACTTAAAATAGTTATTGTGTAGGTATGTATGCATGATATTACATGGGTTACATGCCACAATCACATATATGTGTGCAGACAGAGAACACTTTTCTGAGGCTACTTCTCTCCTACCTTTACATGGGTTGCAGGGATCGAACTCAGGTCATCAGGCTTGCTTGGCAAGCACCTTTACCTGCTGAACCTTCTCAATAACCCCTAGTTACTTTGAAGAAGTAAAATAAGGCTCTGGGCAGTGTTCCCAGATTTGGTAAATTAAGATATAGAATGCCCAATTAAATTTGAATTTCTGATAAGCAGCCAATAACATTTAGTATAAATATGTACCAGGCAATAACTGAAGTCGGATATACTAAATACTTATGCTATAAGTTGTTCATTGTTTACCCTGAGATTCAGAGTTAGTGGTTAGCCTACATTTTCATACACACACACACACACACTCACAAAACATGTTTCAGCTCCTTTCCCCCGGCTAGCAGCCCAGAGACTGCAGGGTGCCTGGATCTTCAAAGGACATCAGAGAAATGGCACCAGGCCCTGCCACTTCAGCAGAGTGTGTCTTCCCTGCTCTTAGGGGCTGCAAATGGTGAAAAAGGGCTAAGTTGGGGGCCACGAGACATATCAGGGACAGAGATCCAGGCAGAATTATGGGAATTGTGGGGCTGCCAACAAGAAGCATTCAAACCAAGTAAGTAACTTGCTTCATTCTTAAAAAGAAAGAAACTTCGAGCTAACCCAAAAGGCTTTAAGCTGTGCTTACCACGTCCTTGGGTCTAAAGTGGCTTCAACAGTTAAAAGAAAAACAGATGACACGTAAAGGACAGGAATTTACAGTGTCACAGCAGGTGTGGTGAGTATATAACTGATATAAACAGTTAATTGTTAGTTCAACAATGATTCCCCAGGCATGCATTGTCTTTTTGCCACTGACTAATGAGAGTAATGAGAACTTTAATTCTAGACCACAGAGCTTAGATTCCCAGTGAGCTGTAAATCTCTAGAGTGTCAGGAAGCCTGCCAAGGCTGTAGTCAACATCTTCAGGCCCTTGAAAGAATGGCCTGCTGCTGTCTACTTTGCTAGTGCCCCTCTACCTGAATGTCCATCCCTTCCTTGTAGCCATGCCTTCCTACAGACTGCAAGATACACACACACACACACACACACACACACACACACACACACACACCACAAACTAAAGAAATGTAATTTAAAGACCAGTCAAAAGCAAACTAATGATGCAGATTCGGAGTTCTTCACATCCAAGTGCAAATTATATATGTCATCTTTAAAATAGTAAAACAGGAGCTAGAGAAACAGTTCAGGTGTAAAGAACACTTGCTACTCTTGCAGAGGACCCAGGTTGGTCCCCAACACCTACACAGCCTCTACCATCTGACAAAACTCCAGTTTCAGGGAATCTGACACTCTGTTCTAGGTATCAAGCACGTATGTGGTGCATGTATATACATAGGCAAACACTCATATACCTAATCACACATAAAATAAAATACATTTAAAGAAAAAAGATCCTAGACTCGTTTTATCTGGGTGGTTGGTGGCACACATCTTTTCCCAGCACTTGGGAGGCAGATCTCTGTGAGTTCGAGACTAACCTGGTCTACAGAGTGAGTTCCAGGACAGCTAGGACTGTTGTTACACAGAGAAACCCAGTCTCAAAAAACATAGAACTTACAAACAAAAACTAAAAATAATTTTTTAAATTAAAAAATAGTTAAGATAGAATGTCAACACTTTTAACAGTTAGCTTTTTAAGGTAGGCAAGCCCAACCCCTTTCCTGCTAAAATTGCAGTACCAAGAGAAGTTCGTAGTTCCTGAACTCCCCTTGCCCCTGTGAGTGAACTCTTATTCAGGCAGAAGAGAAGGAAATAATTCAGTTGCTGGTGAAGTTTTCCAGTTTTGTATTGTTAAGTAACAGCTAAATAATAAGTCTGAATCCTTATATTCAGCATCATTAGTAAAAGCCAAGGGGAAATGGTCCTTTGTGTTGGTTTTCAAGAGCCGATATGTTTTATCATCATGAGAGAAGCCTCATTTTGTTCTGGTAATGTTGAGATAAAACAGATCTCATGGGCCAGGTGTGGTGATATACACCTTTAATCCCTGAACTTTCATGGCAGAGGTAGGGACCAGGGCATGCCAGCCCTTGTTGTTAAACCATACCTAGAGGGCAGAGACAGGCTTGACTGGATGGGCTGAGCTACAACCCAGGCTCCAGAGAGGGGACACAAACAGGCTATTTAAAGGAAAAGCTACCTGGCTGGAGAGATGGCTTAGTGGTTAAGAGCACTGACTGCTCTTCCACAGGACCCAGGTTCAATACCCAGAACCTACGTGGCAGCTAACAATTGTCTGTAACTCCAAGAACTCTCACACAGACATAATAAGTAAAAAATAAAGGAAAAGCCACCAACAGCAAAGTGAACTCAAACAAGGAGGAGGCCCTGGCAGGCATTCCTCACTTGGTTTCAGCAGGAGGAATGGGATTTAATTAAGCAGGGTAAAATCAGTCAAACAATGACCTCACAGGAATTTTTAGCTTCAAGTCAGTTACCTTAATGTTGTCTTTGGTTTCAAGATGTTTGAGGAACTCTAACATTTCTTTAGAGGCCTCTCTGGTGACAGGACCCTAGAATAGCATAACAAAAAAGAAACATTTCTTCTCTTATCCCCTCCTTCTGTAGTACGTAGGATAATTTCCATCTCTTAATATTCAAACAAGTCAAAAATTTGACCCCAAACTCCAGTCTGTTTACTTACCCCACTCACATTCATCATCTGGCCAAGGTCACCTAAAAAACCAACAAGTGCTTCCGCTGTGATGGGGATGGCAGGAAGCTTCCCTCCAATAGAGATTCCTCCATACCTGCAAGGCAGCAAGATAGCCTCCTGTCAGTGCCATGATGCCCACCAGGCTCACACCCACCAGGATGATCTCAGCTTCTATAAGGGGGTGTACATATGGGAGGGATGTCTGGGCTATCTAGCAACACTGTCCCACTTTACAAACTTTCATTCTCCAAATAGTTCTATCTCTAGATCCAAAAGCTAATAAACCCGTGCCCTAGATTCCACATATGAGATAAAGTATATATTTGTCTAAATCTGGCTGATTTTGATCTCTGGTTTCATGCCTTTTCCTAAGAATGGCATGATTTCATTCTTCTCCATGGTACATATAAACCCACACATCACATTTTCTTCAGTGGGCTCCTAAGTGGATTCCTTAGCTTGGCTGTTGCAAACAATGCTGCAGTAAGCTTAGATGTGCAGGTATCTCTGTTGTATGTTAATTTATGTTCCTCTGGAAATATGTCAGGAGTGGTACAGATGGAACACAGTTCTACTTTCAGTTTTTGGAAGAACCTCTGGTTTCCATAGTGGCTGGATGTACATTCCCATATACAGTGCGTAAGCGTCTCTTCCCTCTGTACCCTCAGCAGCATCTGTTACTATTTGCCTTCTTCTTGACAGTCATTCGGGCTGGGGAGAGATGCAATTTCAGTGCAGTTTTGATTTGATTTCCCTGAGAGCTAAAGATATTGAACATTCCTCGTGTATTTATTAGCCACTTGTATTTCTTTTAAGAACAGTCTGTTCGTTTATTCACTTATTGGTTTATTTGTTCTTTTTGTATTTAACTTTGTGAGTTCTTGATATATTGTGGTTAGTATTCCCTTGTTGAATGAATAGCTGGTAAAGATCTTCCATTCTGGAAGCCATCTTTTTCCTTTGGTAATTACTTTCTTTGTTTTATAGAAGCCTTCAATCTGCTCTTATTTCCTAAATTGTCAGAAACCCTTCACCTAAGCTTATATCTTGAAGAAGTTTCCCTTTAGTAGTTACAAAGTTTCAGGACTTCCCTTAAGATCTCTGATCCATTTTGAATCAATTTTGTGCAGAGTGAGAAAGGGGGGATTTGGTTTCAGCTGCCTACATGTGGATAGCTAGTTATCCCAGCACCGTGGATTACAGAGAGTATCTTTTTTCCAGTATATGCTTTTGGCACCATCGTCAACAACCAGGTGGCTGCCACTGTGTGGGTTTCTGTGTGATTCCTCTATTTTACTCCATGGGTCTATGTGTCTATATCTTAATTTCTTTTATTTTTGAGATTATAATACAGTTCTTTCCTTCTTCCCTTTCCTCCCTCCAAAACCTCCCACATGCCCTCCCTTCTCTCAAATTCATGGCCTCTAATCATCACATACATATGTATATATGTACATCACATATCTTTGAACCAGTGTACAAACTTTGAAGTTTTGAAGTCAGAGGTTGTGATAGCTTCAGGTTTGCCTGTTTTGAACCAAACATCCATGCACCAAAATTCTTACAGACGACAAAAGATGCTGAATAAACAAAACAACCTCTGGGATGCTCTAAGGACAGGGTGGATTCTGGAGCTGGGTCAGTTCCCTTGAAACTTACATGGAACAGACCAGGGAACATCTACACTTGCAGTCTAAGATTCTAATTAATCATAAAAATAGTATCTTTCCAGGCCTGGTGGTGCACACCTTTAATCCCAGCACTCGGGAGGCAGAGGAAAGCCGATCTCTGTGAGTTTGAGGCCAGCCTGGTCTACAGAGTGAGTTCCAGGACCATAAGCTTCTGGTGTCTGCTTCATGTGAAAGGCAGGATCTCCTATGACTGCGTTTTAAAATCTTGCCAAGTCATCACTGCAAAACTGACTCTGAGGAAAGAGTGCCACCTACTGAATTGAACTCCTAGGTTCCCTCCACAGGCTCATCTCCCAGCCTCAGTCAGCACTGCCCTAACATGTTTTATGCAAAAAAAAATAAATAAAATAAAATAAAAATAAAAGTGAGATTGCTGCATAGTGCATGAAATCATCCTATCTTTTTCCCCAGCATCAGCCAGTTTAATGATCTAGTAGTCATATCTATAAATTAACTATTTCAATCATACTCCCCAAATAGTTTCTTACCTCTGTTCATTGACCCAGAATTTGCTCTTTAAGCTGGAAGTCAAAACAAAAGCATGTAATAAATTCCATCAGGATAGCAATAGTGTTAGCGTTTCTTTCTAGTCATTGGGGTGTCTCAGTCCTAGGGATGTTTTTGCATTCCCTGATATCTAAGCAATGTAGCGTGGAAGCTGGCCTGCCTGAGGACCCAGGTGAACCTGTGCACAGAGAACGGACTATTATGTTCCAACCCGGGCTCTCCCAATTGCCTCCTGCACACTAGACTTTCTGACTAGCCCTTTAGACAGGCCTCACAGACCTGTGAACCCAGTCTAGTCCCAGAAAACATAGCAACAATCACGCCAGTGTGGAGTAAACCGTGAAACCCTCTCTCTTTTATAGAATGTAAGAAATTCTAATAACCACCTGTATCCTTGGGAGAAGCGCTGACTTACTCCTCCTTCAGTTAAAAGACACTGACTTGTGGGCGTTTGGAGGTAAGATAATGTGATGAGCAAAGTCTAGAATTCAGGCTGGCCCAGAACTGTCACTATCACTGTCATCAAGTAAAAATCAAAACTTCCGTAATGCAGATTTGCTATTGAGCCAGGTTTAGAGTGGTTTTGTTTATTGAATTAATGAATAACCTCACCCTCTTTCCTTTGAAAGCCACGGAGCACATGGATCACACTTCCTTAAGGCAGAATGCTTTTGTCAAGCTGCTGAAGGCCTTCCATCCCAAGCCGGGCCTGATAAGAACAGCCACAGAGCTGAGAGATCTAGATATGAAAGTGTCTGTGGATGTGTTCAAGGGTGGCAGTGACAGGTGATAATGAGTGTGACAGCAGCAGTCCCCAGCCAGTGCCTGACCTGTCAGCAGCTGTCCCCCTGTGTTTCCCCTTCCAATCCCCCTTTGCTTCTCTTTCAGTCTTCCTCTACTCTTACTCCTCAACTTCCTCTCCTTTCCCCCCTACCCCTGCAAACTTTGTCTCTCCTTCTTAACTCCTTAAGAGATAAGGCTTCTTTATTGAATACATTTTTGTTGTTATTGTTTTTGTTTTTCGAGACAGGTTTTCTCTGTGGCTTTGGAGGCTGTCACTGAATACATTTTTGTTGTTATTGTTTTTGTTTTTCGAGACAGGGTTTCTCTGTGGCTTTGGAGGCTGTCCTGGAACTAGCCCTTGTAGACCAGGCTGGTCTCAAAGTCAGAGATCCGCCTGCCCCTGCCTCCCGAGTGCTGGGATTAAAGGCATGCGCCACCAACGCCTGGCAATTTGAATACATTTTTTGAGTCACTAGCAATAGTAACTGGGATAAACTTCGACTGCTTACGTTAAACATAGAAACAAGCAAAAAAAAAAAATTAACCTCAAGTTGCCCCCTTTGTGTATACACCTCAGTTACTTTTTCCTGCTGTCTGTGGCCCCACATTCCGGTGCCACCCTCACAGTTAACAGTGGGAAACTGACTTTTTGCCATGGTTGATACTGTCGATAGGCAGCCAGGATTATCCGTGTGACAGGGTCACTTACCTGCTTCTTATGAGAGCAGGATACGTTTTTACCAAGTAGTCGGAGATGTTCCTGTTTGTGAGGTCTTGTAGGACTTCAGTGCTGCGTTGTGTCCTCTGGGGTGAAGAGACATTAAAGTTTGTAAAAACTACTGTTCTTCTGCAAAATTTATTATGGACTCAGATACTGGAAGACATTAATCACAACCCTGGCAGCTTTCCAGTTCCGACATCAGCAATGTGGGGGTCATCGTTGGTTCCCACCCCCTTGTTCTCACTCCATCCATTGACAGAGGGCTTAACTGCAAAACAAATCTCCCACACATCTGTCTCTTCCATTCTGATCTTGTCACCCCAATCTAAGCCACCACCTAGACCTTGCCTACTTCCATGACTCCGCCTTTAGGCATCTACATTCTGCTCTCCACCCCCTGTCAGGTTGAGCTTTGAAGATAAAAAACATCCGTCAGTCACCTCGTGTACCTTAACAGCTTCCATCTTGCATGAAACGTTCCTTTGCCTGAATCACTCACTGCCTCTACACTAACCCATGTAAGACATCATCCCTGTGAAGGCAGAGGTCTTCTCTGGCTTGCTGGCTTTTGCAGCCCTAGCATGCAGCTCTCCGATAATATATTTGGAATGCAAGTGAAATCATTTGAATGGCACCTTATATTTTACAAATCACTTTCAAAGTGTATCTGGGAGTGGAAGAGATTTGGAGGCATTCAAAAGTGCTAGATTTTGACCACCAGGTGGCAATATCACACAGTGTTGAGTTTCTTGAATTAGTGTCATTAGGTCAGTCGAGAACCTTGGGCAAAAGCCTTCACTCTGTCTACATTGCCACACCAAAGTGGCTGACAGGATTCAAGGTGGCAGTAAGCCACCATCAAAATGCATTTATTTTTTTCATATGTTTTCTAGATCCCTCCCTTTCCTCATTTGACCTTAGTTCACATTCTTCATCATCTTCCTTCTCTTCTAGGTGAAGTGGCAGCTGGTGACAGGGACAGTGTGACAGTGTGATGGGGACCATGGTAAATGCTCTGTATACACGACCCCACCCCTACTGCTTTCACATGAGAGAACCTTACTGAGAAAGGGAGGTTAAGAAAAGTGGGCCAGCTTGCCTGTGGTTGGCCTGGGAGCACCTGCCTCTCACTTCCTTGCTGCCTATTACCTGTTCCTCAGATTGACCACAGTTCCTAACCAAGCAACCCTGGTAGTAGGCTGGGACAATTGCTGATGCATGAGGCAGGTTGTGACAAATGTTTTCTAAAACCTGTGTCAACTACAACATTCCTACTTTATCTCTGTGTAGAGTAGAAGTCAGGAATGGGGTGCGTCCATGTCGAGACATACCACTATTGAAGAAGTGTTGGAGTGGGGAGGGGTGCCACGGAGCATGGCATCTGCTGCCCTGAGTCCCCACATACTGCTACCCCACTTTTCATCCACCACGTCTGAACCAGGGCCTTCCTTCTGCTCTTACTCCTGACTGAGTGGGAAGGTGCTACATGAGGGTGAGTTAGTGTGAATGCATGTCCATGTATGAGTACATACATATGTATGACTGTATGTGTGTGTGAGAAGAGGTGGCTATACAGATGTGTGACATTCAGTTTTACTCCTAAGCATATATGGTTGCTAATGAGGAGACGCGGGTGTAAAAGACAGCTGCAGACCTGCTATGACTCCTCTGGGATCAAGGGCCATTGCTACACTGAAAGTAAGTTTCTAAGTTAGACAGGCAGCCATGAAGCTATCGCTCATTTAGGCAATGGACTCCTGTGTAGCGAGGCTTGACTTTTTCTTCTCCCAGCCCAAATCCTAGGGAGTCAGGGATACCTGCAACATAGCAGTATAGATGTTACCCAAAGAGAGAAATATAAAGGCATATGCTTTAGGATTTTAACAAAGAAATGGCACAGGACCAGTTATGAGCCAGCAGCCATGATAGATGCAATGGTAACATTTAGTTGTCCCATTATGTCTTCTTCCTGCTGCTATTGTTATGGCTTTTCCCATGGGCACAGGCTGTGCAGAATTAAAGTGGCAGTCCAATAGATGCAATGGTAAAATTTAGTTGTCTCATTATGTCTTCTTCCTGCTGCTATTTTTATGGCTTTTCCCATGGGCACAGGCTGTGCAGAATTAAAGTGGCAGTCCCTGGTCCCTCTCCATGCTGGGTCCTGTCCAGTGACAGTTAAGTGGAGGGGCTATGCAGTAGCTTCTACAAGTCTTCCTTGTGCACACTTAAGACATCTGTTGTATCTTATTCTTAATGTCTTCTACTCTACTGCTTAACAAAATAGTTTCTAACACTCTGGCTGGAGAGTCAGAGGAACAACAGAAAACAACATCTTAGAATGCCCATGTTAACTTGGACACAAGTGAGAGGCAAGCTGTATTTGTTTTAGTCACTCTTAGGTTATCACTTGAGTGAGCTGAGTCTAATCCTAAATAGTTCATTAAACACATCATTTCTCCGAATCCTCATGATAATGCTATGAACTACATGTAGTTCTCCTCACCCTTCAGGAGAGAAAATGAAGAAAGCTCAGAAGCCAAGAAACCAAACCATGCCTCCCTGACTCCCGTGCCTGAACCCTGCTACTGCGATACACTGACTCTTTGGGAATCATCCATTCATTGATAAATAATGAGAAACCATCCAAAGCAGTGTCTGTACAAGTAACCAAGGAGGCTGTTACCAACCAGAGAAAATGTGGGGCTCTCCTGCCCTTGAAGGCACTCTTTTAAACCCCAAGATGGCTTGCTGTGATATAGAACACACAGCTCTAGACAACATTGCTTGGAGTACAATTTATGCCACTCTTGCAAAAGATAAGTTGCTGGCTGTATGTGTACATGTATGTTAAAAACATAGTGCATGGGCACATAGACTATCCCTATCCCCTTCTTCCTTTCTTGTAATGAGTATCAAGCCCAGCCAGGGTCTTACATCATTCTAGACAGCCCCCCCCATAGTAAGCTTAATTAAAACTGTTAATCAGTATGTAAACATATTAACACTTGAATATACATCACAATATTCTTTATATAGGAGAAAAGAATTTTAAAATCTAAATGATCAACCATGGGAAATAATTTAAAATCAGTCAAAACCCAGGAATAGTATGCACTTGTTAAAAATGATGCCGGTACCTGTGGGGGTGGGAGCCCTCCAGCACCCTCAGGGCACTCTGGCAGCATAGTGAGCTTCTCTCTGGTACTGCACTTGCAGGAGGGAGAGGGGTGGGCTGCTGTCCATTTCTGCTTTTGGAACAGGTGGGTGATGTTTGGGGACACAGAAGGTGTCTTCCAGGAGGTTGAGTTGCCACAGGGGTATTCCCTTATGGAAAAATGAGAAAATATTCCGCAGTCAGTCCTACTGCTGATTTTTTTTTTAATCCCTAGAAAAGAGGAATTATTGCCAGCTGTCTCCTCTGCTTTTCTCTTCCTTGGACTCGGGAATTTCCCTCCTGGGGATTAGAGTCTGCTTAAGGAATATCAGAACTGGGGTCCTGCTGGTGAGAAAGCACAGACTAGAGAATAACCACCTCGTTTGTGGACTCTCTGTGTTTGTTTGTTTGTTTTGTTTTTCTTTTTTCTTTTCTTTTTTTTGTTTTGTTTTGTTTTGTTTTTCGAGACAGGGTTTCTCTGTGTAGCTTTGGAGCCTATCCTGGCACTCACTCAGGAGACCAGGCTGGCCTCGAACTCACAGCCTGCCTCTGCCTCCTGAGAGTTGGGATTAAAGGCGTGAGTTTTTCTGTCTAGCAGCTTTTGATGTTGTGAGATGTAGAAGAAAGAAAGAAAGAAAGAAAGAAAGAAAGAAAGAAAGAAAGAAAGAAAGGAAGGAAGGAAGGAAGGAAGATAACAGAAGAATCCGAAATGTGTCCATTTTGCTCTCTAGCAATAGCTTTGGGGACGATTGGATGAGAAAAGATATCTACAGTTAACACTGAAGATCCCTCGAGAATTTCAACTATCTTTTTTTTTAAGATTTATTTATTTATTATGTGTACAATGTTCTGCCTACATGTATTTCTGCATTCCAGAAGAGGGCACCAGATTTCATTGTAGATGGTTGTGAGCCACCATGAGGTTGCTGGGAATTGAAGTCATGCCCTCTGGAAGAGCAGCCAGTGCTCTTTATCCTCTGAGCCATCTCCTCAGCTCAGGATTTCAATATCTTCTACACCTCTCTTTTCTATAGTTACAACAATGAGTGAGAGTTGGCCATAGAAATAATTCATGTCATTCAAGGCCCAACTATATAATAGCATATCCTTCATCTTCTTCCATCCATAGATGTAGAATATAGAAATTTTCTATATTGAGACACACAGAGCTGTTGATGATGGGGGCTTCCTAGGATGTAAGCTCTGCTTAAAGAAGTTGTGTAGGTGCAGTGCTAGCTAGAGACATGGATGTGTCCCATATAACACAGGGAAAGACTGAGGGGTCTTTCCCAACACTTCCAGGCTGACTTTAGGATCCCCTGGGAGAACTGTTGGTGCTAGTGCAGGACTTACGGAAGCCACTCCTTCTTTAGGCAACGGTTGCCAAAGCCTGGCTTGTTCAGGAGGACATCTGCCAGCACTTCGAGGTGTTCATTGCTGGGCTCATCCATGCTGAGAGAGAGAGAGAGAGAGAGAGAGAGAGAGAGAGAGAGAGAGAGAGAGACAGACTAGGACAGAAAAGACCTCCAAAAGATGGAGTTCCGATGCCCTTTCCCAAGCTTCACATCCTCTTTCCTTATCCGTCTTCCACTGGGTACCACATTGCTAAACAGTGACTGCTGCGTTAGCTTCCCTTCTAAGAACAATCCCAGGATTCCTTTGGCCTTGGTGATAAGTCCAGGGAAGTGGGGAGGTCAAGACCCTTCCAGCAAGCATGAGGTCCAGGAATATCACATGTCAGAGGATAATGGTGTCCCCCAGGGACGAATCTACACACCTGAAGAAGGTATATTGATGCCCATACATCCAGGGGTGAAGGGTCAAAGCTGGAAATTCACCAAACGGAGGCACAATGATGGAAAGCATCAGAGCCAAAAATACAAAAGTGGCAGGAAGAACCATCTGTAGGAGAATAGCCATGGAGACACAGGCTGACATATGAGAGATGACACACATGCACAGGAAGGCATTTGATGTACATATGTGTACCCATACCATGCACACATGCAGCACACACGTTCTTTTACACAAAAGTGGCAGGAAGAACAATCTGTAGGAGAATAGCCATGGAGACACAGGCTGACATACGAGAGATGATGTACATACACATGAAGGCATTTGATGTACATATGTGTACCCATACCATGCACACATGCAGCACACACGTTCTTTTAAGCATTTATTCTCCACATCATATTCAGATGCTGGTAGTGTAGGACAGGCTCCTGGTGGAACATTATAGGCAAGGGTAAAAGGTAATAATACATGTAGAAGGAAACAAATTGTTCCTGCAGTCATAGAAGAATCTGAATGTATAGCATGCTCAGCCAGAGCCTAAGGGGAAGCTTAAAGGACAATCACATCACTTGCTTCTCTTTGAACCAGAGTTTTGTTTTTGTTTTTGAATGAAAAACACAGAAAGGGGGCTGGCACACAGCCAAGATGGTGCAGAGTGTTTGCCATCATGCATGAAGCCCTGAGTTCAATCTGTAGTATTATCATATTGAGCTTAATGGTACATGCCTTTAATCCCAACACTCAGGAGGTGGAGGCAGGAGGACCAGAAGTTCCAGGTCATTCTTAGCTGCACAACACTTGCTTCTCTTTGAACCAGAGTTTTGTTTTTGTTTTTGAATGAAAAACTCAGAAAGGGGGCTGGCTCACAGCCGAGATGGTGTAGTGTGTTTGCCCGTCATGCATGAAGCCCTGAATTCAATCTGTAGTATTATTATATTGAGCTTAATGGTACATGCCTTTAATCCCAACACTCAGAAGGTGGAGGCAGGAGGACCAGAAGTTCCAGGTCATTCTTAGCTGCACAACAAGTTTGAGGTCAACCTGGAGTACATGAGACCCTGACTCAAAATAGGACAATGGCCTTGACCTTCAGGTCATTAGACAAATGAGTGAAGCATAAAGCTTTACCTTTCATTATGAAAATCGATACAATACTGGCAAATGTGGTACTATCCTATGCTTTACTCTAAATGAGGCCCAATCCTTTCAAGGTTTGCAAAACCTACAATCAAAGCAAAGGTTTGGCAAGGAGGAAACAGAGCTGATAGGAGCTGAAGAAAGCGTTCTGGGTCGCGGTTGAACCCATGCACACAGATGCTCTCGAGAAGACAGGAAGTCAGGATTAGCCCCTCAGACCCAAGCGGGAGAGCTGGGCCAAGTCTAATCAGGCCACAGTGGTACCTGAGCCAGAAAGTCCTTGTGGCTGCGGACAGCGCGGTGGAATCGCTTGACCAGCAGCGCCTGCACATGTTGAAGAATCAGCCGAGCACCTGTGTTGAATGGGGCACCGGGTTCCTCTGGCTCTGGGGAAGGCTGTCCCTTGGAAGGATCCACTTGTCCTGGGAAGCAGGTGTGGGGGCCCTGGGCAGGCTGCCTGACCTTCTCAGTGGGAACAGAACAAGGGTGCCTGAGACCGCCATGTTCTCTTTTCTGCTGCATGCCACCTAAGGGATATCGGATCGATAATTTGAAAAATATAAATGTAAGAGATTATTATATGCATTTCCCCCCTTACAACATCAGCTACTCTTCATTTAGAGAAGCACGGGGCATGAAGACTAGTAATCTTTCTGTTGTTGTTTGGGGGCAAGGTCCCTCTGTAACCCATCCATACTTCAGCGAGGTGGTGAGAAGGTAGAAGAGAAGAGAGAGGCTCATAGCTCGGAGAATAAGAGCCATTAGTCCATGTGGCTTCAGGCACCTCACCCAGCCTCAGTGAACTCGGGTTTCCCCAGATGGGCCAGGTCCTTGTTCTACCTGCCTCATGAGATTATTATGATACCAAGTAACACACTGACATCAGGTGCTTTGTCAAGTATAAAGAGCCATACAAGTAGGAAGTGAGAGCATTTGAGTTACCATGAGAGTCTTGCTAAGTCTTGACCACAGATCACACGCTGTGAAAAGGTTTGATGTGTATGTATATTATATTATTATTATTATTATTATTATTATTATTATTATTATTATCATTTTCCAAATGAGGAAACGGAGGGATGAAGAGGCTAAGTACCTTGCCTAAAGGCATTTAGCTATAAAATGATGGAGCTCAGGTTTGATGCTTGTCTACTGCACTCTATAGCTAAACTCTGAACAGTCTCTGAAATGCCCACCTGTATGCCCAGGCTGACCAGTCTTCAACATCTGACTTTATTGTTCTGAGAGGCTAATTATTAAAAAGAAGCATGCTGTCCTGGCAAAAGTCTCTAACTTTTAAATCTAGCACACTGTGTGGTATACTTTAATGTTTTTTCATTCTTGTCTTGGTAAACGTGAATCTTTGGCTTTGAAGGAATAGAGAGAACTCAATTGCTCTCTGCAAAGAACTTAAAAAAGAACCTGGGCCCCACAGTGATCTACTCCTATCTTCTGTGGAGAACTCAGCCCTTCCCCTTCTGCAAGAATGATTGCCTCAATAGCCTACCACATGACCTATATATATGGGTAAGCTGGGGTACATATGGACTGCTATACATAGCCATTGGTAATTCTAGGCATGGCTGATACATGCTTTGTCACTTAGAAGCTGGATGAGACACACATTATTTTAGGATGTAGGAGCAGAAGCAGAAATTCTGTAGGAAGGAAACACAACATAGAAAGACATTTCAAGGTGTCACACTGGGTAGGAGGAGGGGGACTAGTGACCCAAGACAGCAAAAGAAAACTGCTTCATATCTTTGCCTCTGAGCAGGAGGGAGGGCCCAGTGGGTCTATTTCAGCAGAGGGGGAACATGCCACTTGTTCTATTGGAAGTGATTTGTGGCTGGATGGTGGTGGCACATGCCTTTAATCCTAGCATTCAGGAGGCAGAGGCAGGTGGATCTCTGTGAGTTAGAGACCAGCCTGGTCTACAAAGCAAGTTCCGGGATAGCCAGGACTGTTTCACAGAGAAACCCTGTCTCAAAAAAAAAAATAGTAATTTGTGTTATGGAGACAAGTTACCTTTCTGATACTTCTATTCCCTCTACAGTATGTAGACAATACTCAGAATGCTTTGTGTAGCCACGAGGAAGCAAAGGACCCAGGCTAACACATATAGAAGAGAGAAGGCCAGAATTCACAGGAATTTTGGTCCCCACCATTTCAAAGTGTACAGGTTACTAACTGAGAGTTTAAGAGTGATTTTCTTTTCTTTTCATTTATTTTATTTTATTTTATTAGTTCAAATTAGGAACAAGCTTGCTTCAGATGTCAATCCCTTCTCCCTCTCCCTCTCCCCCCCAACATCCCACCTGCCTCTAGCCATCCCCCCTCCACTCCCCAGGCAGGGTAAGGCCCTCAAAAGGGACTCCCCAAAGTCTACCACATAATCCTGGGCCAGGCCTAGGCCCTTCCCCATGTGTCCAGGTCAAGAGAGCATCCCTTCATATGGGATGGGCTCTCAAAATCCCTTCTTTTTTTTTTAAGACCTTATATATTTAATACAGTGCATTACCCCTGTACAAATGGGAAAAAATTAAGTTCAACATTTCTAGACTTTTCTTTTTTTTAATCTTGATCTCAAAGGGGCCAGGAGACTGTAGCTGACATCTGGGTTATATTAACTGCCATCACTATCTCTAAGGACTCTCTGCTAGCTGTCACTCATGCAGACAAGAATGGGTCAGAAGCCTGGTAGAGAAGAGAGGAGATGAGATGGTGATAAGAAAGAAAAAAGAGAGCAGAAGTGTAGGAGGCGAAGTTGTGGGGTGTAGATCTACCAATCTGACATTGGTAAGAATCCCGACTCGTCCAGAATGTCACTACCCAGCCAAATTCAGTTCCTCATTCCTGTCGCCCACTGGCAAGAGGAACACAAAGTGCTTTTCTTGGTGCTAGGGCACTAGGAAGGAGGGAAAGCACAAAGCACCTGTAGACTTTTCAAGATCAAGTCTGGAGAAACAGGGAACGGGCCACGGGGGCTAGCACCATACCTGCAAACATAGAGCTGGAATCAGAGTCCTCTGTGACCTTCAGAAAAATCTATTGAGACACAAAGAGAGACTTTGAGTCAGACATTCCTACTTCCAGGAAAATTTAAACCTACTTCCATTTTGTTGGGCACTATTACATCATGGGAAGAAATATATTCATTCTATAAATGAAAAGGTTTAAGTACATGGTGACCACAGATGCAGAAAGTATATATGCACGTGGACCAAGGTAGGAGGAAGCCAGCTAAAGATGGAGAGAGTTGCTACACTGAGTGGGGAATATTGGCCTTTTGCTTTAGTGTTAGACTTTTACAATAGCCGCCTTTTCTGGCACTAGGCTGAGACCAACTGCAAACTCTCTCTGCCTTACCTCTTCCAGGGGAGTGTCAGAAATTCCAAAGCTGCTGAGCCCCAGGTCAGCCAGTGTCTCCTCCAACTCTCTGAAAAGGCTGGCATATGCTCTCTGCTTGAAATTCTTGTTCGGAAGAAGGAAGATAAGTTCTTGACCAATGCATTCTACCAGCTTTGCCTCTGGAACATGGTGGTAAACCAAATCCATCAGCTCCTTCACATTCCCTAGGACAAGAGAAGAGACTGATGATACCAACTCTAGTCAACCTATTCCAGAACCTGGAAGACTGTGAGATTGTCTGGGCCTCCTAGTCTATTCCACCTGCCTCTCTCACTCTCTCTTCCTTTCCCTCTCTTATTTGAGAAAGGGGCAGGTAGCCATAACTATCCTCTGTTTCCCACTCTCTCCCTCCCCACTTCTCTCTCATGTATGTGTATATGTGTGTGTTGAAACAGGGTCCCATGTAGCACACATAGGCTGGCTTCAAACCCTTTATATAATTAAATCTGATCTTGAACTCCTGATCTTGCTACCTCCATCCTCAAGTGATGGATTATAGATGTGTACAAATATACCATCTTTCCCAGACCATGGTTGTACACATCTTTAATCCCAGCTCTTGGGAGACAGAGGCAGGCAGATCTCTGTGAGTTTGAGGATGGCCTGGGCTACACAGAGAAATCCTGCTTGAAAAACCAATTTATAGAGGGCTGGCAACATGGCTCAGTGGTTGAGAGCACTGACTGCTCTTTTAGAGGTCCTGGGTTCAATTCCCAACAACTACACGGTGACTCACAACCACCATGAGATCTGGTGCCCTCTTCTGGCATGCAGACATACATATAGGAAGAACATTGTATGCATAATAAATAAATCTTTTTTTAAAAAATTATATACCAACTTTGTTTTTGGTATGTGTGTGTGTGTGTATTTGCTGAGATGGGGTTTCTCCCTGGTTTGGTAACTCAGGCTGGCCTTCCTGAGTGCTGGGATTAGAGGCATGAACCACACACTTGGTTCTTGGCATCATTTCTTTTAGACCCGATGCTCAGCAAATGTATTTCTAGCTTAGTTGATTCTATGATAAAAGTATTCCAGGTGGCTAGCTGTGCAACCTGAAGGAGGGTGTTTCTGCCATTGTTCAGTCAAATGTGCTATTGCCTTAAGGAATGCTAAATTGTGTGAGTCCTTCCCTAGTTCCTCATCTGTGAAAGGGGAGAATACCTGCCCACTTCAAGACTGTTTGTGTGGGTGGGGAGTTAATGTACACATGGTGCTTGGAGCTGGCACAAGGCTGGCACTTAGCTGCTATTGCATTCCTGAACGTCAGCC